TTGCTAAGCTGTGTGACAGTAAAATTTTTTAACTGTTTGAAAATACTTAAATGTCAGAAAAAGTGTTAAAAGTTTGGCTTTTTAGCATTATCCTTTTTATACTCTGTCTTCAACTGAATGGTTAGTGTTCTAGTGTGCATGCAAATTTAAATGATTTTGTGATGTTCATAAGTATTTGCTAAAAGAGTAAAAAAAGCAGTTAAACAATTTCTTACCCCTTTCAGGACTATGATTAATAAAAATAAAGTATTGAGTGCCCAAAAAGTGTAAAACGAGCAGAGCGGAGGTATACTATTAAGTATTCTATTTCTTTTTCTTTGTTCTGTGATTGGGTTATAGAGATATGTACTTATGAACAGTTTCTATGACTTGGGCAGAAGTAATGATATATTGTTACATAGCACAGCAGACATGCTGTGTTTTTCAGTGAATAAGAAGCTTTTTAAGATATCAGATGCTGCTAGTTAATTTTTGTGTACAATGCATTTTCACATTAGTCCTCACTGTATTGGCAGTTTTACAATTTTTACATATTGATGGTTTTACACTATACTTATTCTTGTGCGGCCTTTTTTATTTCTATTTTTAAATGAATGTTTTATATTTATTAAATATTTTTGGCTTCCTGCATTTTTACTTTTAGAGTAGCTCTATATTTTGAAGTTTCTTACTATGCTGTGAAGGAACTATACTTTGTATATAACATAGTTGGTATCCATTTATTAATATAGTGTTCTTTATCAGAAGTAAAGAATTAATGAATCTACACACACACACACACAAAAAAAAAAAAAAAAAAAAAAAGAAAGAAAGAAAAAGAAAGAAAAAGGGGGGGCAGTTCTATATCTCCTGTTCTACCTAGCCGGTTGACGAAATTCAAATTGCATTTTTTGTCTCTGAAAAGTGCAGCATAGGCTATATATTAGATTTATATATAGCATTATTCTAACATAGGTATTTTGACACAAAGTTTGACTTTTTCTGAAATAACACATCAATTGTTTTTCCATATTTCGTTTCTAGGACTCGTTGCCTAGATATTGAATTTTGTCATTTTTGGTGAAAAATTTATGGAGAAATTTAAAAGTTTATCTTGGCGCATGTTTTCAAGTTTGCGCCAAGAATAATTCACTTGGCGAGATTCTTAACTTATAGCAAACTATTTTTCTTTCCCTTTTCTCCTTGTGCATGAGAAAAAAAATGTACATCATTCATTCTTTCAAATAATTTTAAAAGTGCATAAAGCATATTTGGCATTATTATCAATTATAAAAAATATGCCAAATTTCAAAATGTGCCAATATGTAAATTCATATATATCTTAGGAAATTTTGAATGAAAAACTCTAATTTTTTGCATGCATGCTTAGAAATAAATCTTCTTTAAGATGATAATAGACATTTTATAGGTCATAATCCAAAATTATTTTTGAAAAAATTATAAAAATTACTTTAAAATACAATTTAAAAAATAAAATAAAAAATGGGAAATTTTATTTGGATAATCTAAATTTCGATATGTTAAGGAAAGAATCAAATACATTTAATAAAGAAAAGAATTAATATAAACAAATTCAATTACTTGAGAAGGTAATTTGAGAACTAATTTTTTTAAAATCTACTAGTGCGTTTTTTACAGAATGGGATTTTTGATGTAATTTGAGTCGTAGAATCGAAATATGGAAAAAAATGGCATGTTATTTCAGAAAAGGGCCGATTTTGGGTCAAAATATCTGTATTAGAGCAATGCTCTATGTAAATTTAATACATATCCTAAGTCACGCTTTTGAGACATGAAAAACGCAAGTTGAATTTCGTCAATCGGCCCAGTAGAACGAGACGCATAGAACTGTCCCCCCATTAATTTTTTTTTTTTTTTTTTTTTTTTGTGCGTAGTGTACAATGCTTAAAAATGTAAAACATGCCGTCTGGTATGGTAAGACAATAGCATCAGCATATTGAAATTGATCCTTACTATTTTTCCAGTCATCAGAGCTATTGTTAACAAAATTGTGATATAACTGATGAGTGTCATTTGTCAGTTTTAAACTGTCTGCTGCCAAGGTTTGAATCATTAGTTAATCTTTCCTTTATGACTGAATATCTGAATATTGTAATTTATTCATTACTTTGAAAGTGCTTTTTGTGGATGCCAGGTGGAACCACATTTTAGTTTTGTCTTTGTAGTACATTTGGGATTTTCTCTCTTGGAGTGCTTTCCAACCAAATTTAATGTAACTATTTTTATTCTTGGAGGTACCTAAATTTAAACCTCAAATAGTAAACTGTTGCTGAATTTTTGCATAATGCTATAATAGTGTATAAGATGCATAAAAAAATAATAATTTTTCCTCCTTTCTTTTCTAAATATTTTGGAAATATCAAAATCCATTTTCCTTTACATGATTACATTCCTGTTTTCTTTCTCTCTCTGTATTATTGTTTAATAGTTTCCTTCATGTTCCTTTTTTTCACTTTTTAGGCACTTAATCACTGTTAATATTCTTTATATTTAGTTTATAATTATGTATTATATAACATGTGTAAACAGTTTTTGTTTGTATTTTGTTATAAAACATACTAAATTTAATTATGGTTTATTTAATTATTCTGTATTGAGCTTAATGTTTTAAGTTATGTTTTTATGACTGTTTTAAAATAATTATGCTATAATACTAAAATAATCTTTTATTTCTTTCATTTAAAAAAAATTGAAGTTTTCTTTAGAAATATTTCATAGATGCCTCAGCTTTCCATGTTTAGTGGGATATAGGCATGAAATGTAATTAGGGAAATGTATGTGTTTCAACTTTGCATGCATTCTTATTTTCTGATACAATCCAGTTTATATCAAATATTCTTTGTATTAAATATATGATATTCTTTTATGGCAATTGTAACTTTTTAAATAAACAAAGTTTAATTTTTGCATTTGAAGTGAAGGGGAACACCATTTGAACCTAAGCTGTGTACTAAATATATTTCTATTTTCTGATTGTATCTTATTAAATATGGGCATGATTCTTTCGCTGAATTTTTATATGGAATTGTATCCTCTAGTCAACTTTTGTGTGCCATTTCATTGTACGAATTTAAATTCCAGGTAACATGAGATGCCATTTTAGTAAGAAAACTGCTGATAAACGTACCCCTTTTTCTCTGTCACATAACACATGTATATATGTATATGTATAACTATGAATACATATATATATATTAAATGTAGTGAAATAAATTTTCTATGTGCTCTTGGGTAGTTAATGTGCATATATACAACAGATGTTTCTATAAATGTTTATATTTTAAATTTTGAGAAAATTATATTGACGTGTTTGCAGTTTTGATAAACTCACTTATTTTTAAAGACAGAATTTCATATTGATTTTGTATAGCTACTCTGAAATAAGGGATTAGATTTTAAAACATACATTTATGATAAATTTGTTGCATACTCACAAATTGGCTTCTGCAAGCTAACATTTAAGTAAAAAGTATTCTTTAACTTTTAACAGTTGAAATTTGCATATCTAATTGGATTTGAAAATTGCATATTTTTAAGAAAATTTATGTATAAAGTTTGAAAGTGTGGAAATGAAATGCTTTAAACTATAAAGATAATTCTTCAATAATTTTCTTTATAAAAAATGAATGAACATATCCAAATCAAATATCATGATTTAATTATGTATTTGTAATGGTTATTAATATAACAGTTTGTATATTATACAGTGATCTTGTGATAATTTGTTTGATAGTTTGTATGGTATTTTTAAAATCTATTGAATTAATTTCTGTGCATGTCCAGCAATAATATTTTTAAAAAAAATTACATTAAATTTTTTTAGTATAAATATTTTAATGATTTTTCTCAACACAACTTAATATTTACAACATAATATACAACTGAATCATTTACTTTCAGTTTCTGTCTTTTTTGGTATAAGTTAAGAGGATTAAGGAAAGCATATCACTTAACTTCTAGGGTGTTCAGTGTATTTAATTCTGGAAGAGAACATCTGTTAAGTAGACGAGGAATACAAATTAGAATTGTGATTTAAAGTGTTAAACCATATATGGAAGGAATATTTTGTTTAATAAATTAAAAATATATGCAAGAATTAATGCATATATTTAGCTAATTAGAATTTGTTGTCAAAATAAGAGGTTAGAAAAATATATTAATCCTCTATGTGGATTAACATTGGGTTGAATTAAGTATATTTATCATCATGAAGCTCATTTTATTTAATGCTGAGCAAGTTATGTATCTTTTATGAATTTTTTAATTGACCAAAATTAGAAATATGATTCTTAGATCCTTAGTTGCTTAAAAGGATGGCAATGAGTTTTAAACATTTCAGTGCCTAAAATCAGTAGAATAGTGGCCTTTTTCTTAATTTAAATTTCTTTTAATGTATGGTGTTAGAAGGAATGTTATAATTTTTGATACTTGTATATTTTGCCGTTCACCATAATAATCTGTGGTGGAGATTTCACATAATTTGTGGCAGTCAATCGGGGGAGGGGGGGAGTTTGAAGAAACAGATCATACTTTATTTAATTAGCAACAGATAAAAGATATGAATATATAGCAAAGGAAAACTGATCAAGGTTATATAAAACTGAGTGTATCTTATGAGTGATGTCCTGGTTAAAAAATTACATTGCTTGGTGACAGTTTTTATTTGTTGAAAATGGTCAATGAAAAAATGCAGAGCTGCCTAATTTTTAAATCGTAGAACTTTTATTAATTTTGCAAATTTAAGTTTATTACCGTATGTATATTTCAGCAAATTTGAACTATTTATTTTTCATTTTTAGTATTTTTTTAAGTTTATCTGTTTTGAAGAACATTTAATAAAATAAAATTTTAATAATTTTAGTTATAGTAAATAAGATTTGAGATTTACTGTAATTAACTCCTCCCTGTTCAGCTTTAAGTTTGCATGATTATTTTAAATGTTGCTTATATTTGTGTTTATTTTGTTTTTTTCCTTTCAGTTGCTAGTGTATCTTAAACTTATGGAATTTGATGGCTTCCGATTAGTTTTACTTTGCTCGCAATGCATGCATACTGCTCACAGCCAATTTGAAAGGGATGATAGAAAAAGTAACTCATTTTCAACAAAATTAAGCTGATGTGATGGCATTTTTAGCCATAAATCAGTTACTTCGCCGTCTTTTTATAAAATAAACATATTCCCATTTTGATTTCTTATGAATGTTTTTACAAATTTATCTGTAGCTTTGGATTAATAAATTTCTTGGTTAACTTTCTTTTAGAAATGTTAGACATTTGAAAGCTGTGGATGATTCACTGTACTATTAATTAGTTTTATATGAATTGAATGTAATTTCAGCAGTATTTTTTGCCCTTTACATTTTCATTTGTTTTACAGCATAAAAATTATTTTAATTTCTTTGTAAATGTTTTAAATTATATTCTTATTAACTACTGTTTGAATACAGTTATATTAATATGCATTTAAATACTTTTAATAATTATAAAACAGCTTTTATTCCTAATATTACAGAAATCCTTTTTTTTTTTTTAAAAAGAAAGTGATTTTATTTTTTGTAAAGATATTATGTATTTTGGTATATAATAATCATAAAGATTGTTAGTGTACTGAAGAGAGTTATAATATGATTTTGTCAAATATCTTATTTTTGACATTTTACTGCTACTATTAATTTAACTATCAGACAAATTAAAAATTCTGCCTTTAGTGTATTAGTGAGTATTATGTCAAAATTTTTATTTGATACTTGATATATATATATATATATACACACACACACACACATGGAAGGATAATCTTCTCTTCCTGTAAAAGAAATTTGAACTTCGAGAAAGTGTCTATTCCAGTTTATAAATTTCATCAATTCTTTACAAAAAATGAAAAGTTAAAAGTGGGTTCATATAAAAACATTTTTAAGATATTAATGTATTTATTTTAAAACTTTTATAGTTCTGCTAATTAAGTCAAATTCATAGACATTCCTAAATGTGTTGAAATATATGTGTTTAATATTGGAAATGGTGGCTTTTGGTGTAAGTATATCTATGTCAGACTTTTTACTTTGCCCCTCCTCTAATATCAGCTTAATCTAGCATAACTTCTGTTTTTTTTTTTTTTTTTTAAATTTGCTGTTACCTTTAAGTTAGCAAAATATATGTTAAATTTTTCAATTATCCTTTATTTTTAACTTATAACTGGATATGCATATGCATTGGTCACATGAAAGTTCCCATTTCTTTAAAAATAGGGGTGCTAGAGGTTTGGTATAGCAGTAAATAGTAAAGCATTATAATGATTAATATTTATGTGAATTTTGGACATAACTTTAAAATGTGTAAATATATACTTTGCTATATTATATTAGAGAAAAAATTGTCATGATTTACAGAAATTAAACTAAAAGATATCATAAAAACATTTTTATATTTCATATGTACCACATAATCTCGTATAATTAATGAAAAAGGATGTTACAATCCTTTATCCCATCACTTTTAATACTATGCAATTTATCTCGCATTACTATGACAAATTTTAGCATTGTCTTTATAAGAAACATTTCTTGCAATTGTGACTAGAAATATAAATTAAAATTTCTGCCATCACTTACAAAAATTGATCAAGCATTTTGATAATATACTTTGTTTCTATTTAAAATGCTTCCTATGTATGTAGTCATTTCATTCATGCAAAGTAATTATTGCATTTTTTAAAATTTAGATTTTTTAATTTGGGGGTTAAATTTGGTTGTAGAAATTTGGCAGAAAAGTTACATTTGTTATTGAATTCTCTCCTACATAATCAGTACTGTGCGTAATTGTCATAATTGTGTGTGGCCAAATGTGACATTAGACATTTGACTTAATTTGTCATGTCCTTTAAGTTATGACGTGATAATGCACTTTATCTTCAAGCACTTACATATGATAAGTAAATCAGTGACTGAGTATCTAGGATTCCTAGTGCATTGAAAGTTGAAATTAGTCTTGGAAGTTTAGATTTTCAACTTTCTGAACATTTAATTTTTAATACTGGTTTTTGGTATTTAGATTTCTTTTGAAAGGTTCGGATAACAAAATGCTGCAAGTGCTCTTAAAATACTTAGCTAAACAAAGGGTTTCCTTTTAATGCAGGAACAATTTTTCTGTGCATGTGTTTACAAAAAAATGCAAACACTTTAATCATGCATATCTTATATATCAGTAGAATTCAACTTTTTATGAATCACATACAGATAATGAAGTAAACCATTGACTTTGTATCAAGTATTGATACTAGGATATAGATTGGTGAAGCACAGCTTCTTAAAGCAAGGCAGTATACCACTCTTATGCTGTATGTGGATAATTATTTTTTTATGCGTTTTTCAATGATATTGTGTAAAATATTTGTTGTATACATGATTATTAAAAAATTAAGGAATAATTAAAAACACTTATCTTGAAATGTTTATATATGGAGACCTTGCTTTATTTAAAAATATGACTTCATAACTCTTTGTATCGCATATAACTAAATATGGTAAAAAATATTTGGAATGCTTTTTAAAAGTTGAAAAAGAGTTTCAAGTTATGATTTGGAATTCTTGTTTGGCTGATAAGTATTGGTTCCATAGCTGTTGAATAAAAACAAATTTTTTTACAGTTTCTGAAATGTTTTTATTTATTGCTATACAAATTATCTCTGAACCCCTAATTATTTATTGTATTATGTGCTATGTGTAAAGGGTAATCTATTATAGATGTTGGAAATAGACTGGTTATATTATTTCGTACTATACAGTTCTTTATTTAATGTTAAGTTCCAGTTTCACTGCAGAATGTACATAGGATAAATTAGCTGCTAATTTTTGTTACGGAATATGATAATTGGTGTTTTTTTGTTTTGATGTATAAAAACTATAAATCAGTATTATTTAAATAATCTGATTGTATATTATTTGATGGATGTTAATAAATGAATTTTCCTGAGGATTTTTTTTTTTTTTTTTTTTTTTTGTCATTTCAGTGAAGTCAATTTTTGTTATAATTTCAGTTACATTTGAAATTTTCATTATGATTTAGTGTTTGAGCTTTTCTGAAATCATTATTTGAACATATATATATTTTAATCCTTGAATGAGGAAAAAATACAAGTGATTCATTCAAATTGCCTGGATATGTCTTCAAGGTAATACTTTTCGTATTAAGACACTGTGTTAAATAATGGGGTCGGTAATTGCAAAAGATAGTAATTAAAATGAAAATTGGCCTTTAGACATTTAATATACTTAATTGATGCTTTCACCTTCAAGCATAAGACTTACTATATAATATGTCTAATTTCATTTCGAATAACAGAATCATTTTATTTCTCTATTTGATTAGTATGTGAAGAATAGTGATAAATTATGGGAGATAATTGAATAAAAAGGCTGAAATTTTCCATTTCCTAGATGATGATAAAAATAAAGAGCTTGCATTATTTGATGATAGGAATGATATTGAAAATTATTGTTTTATAGAAGGGGAAAATTTGATTCTTCAGCATAATTATTAAATATATTTGGTAAAGAATAAAAAAATTTTTTTTATTGTATCAATTTCAAGTCAGGTATATTAAAACAGGGTTCGTACGGTCCTTAAAAGTCCTTAATTTTGGCCAAACTTGGCAGAAGGTCCTTAATTTTAATCATCTGAAATTTCTGTCTGTTTTTACGACTGCCATTTTGAGCATGAATTAGCATTTTGGAGGAATATTTTTGGCAATTCACTGACATATATGATTATCTTTTGAATGGGTTCATGGGTTATAATTTTTTTCTATTTCTTATATAAATAATGGGATACTCAAGTTTCTAAGCAAGAAGTGAAACATAAGCATTTGGAAATTCGTTTTTTTTTTTTTTTTTTTTTTTTCCAATAAAGAGCTTTTAAACAACTTTTCGCTTTTGGGGATGCAAATTCTTTTATTAAACGGTTCTAAATTTGGCAACTTATCAACATTTTGAGATCAGTTTCTATAGAAAATTTTTAATTCTGAGATCTGAGAATTTTTCGATGATTTTTTTAGAACATTATAACGTTGATAAATGTCATTAAAATAATGGTAATGTATTGTAATTATTTTTAAGAAGCAACATTAAAGTAAAGCATTTTTTTTTCACTGCCATATTATAAATTCCATTTTGGCCACTTATACAATATCTTGAATCTGAAAAAATAAATGAAGTATAATGTTATAAAGCACAATTTACGAAACATTTCTTAGCAAAAGCAAAATAGCTATGCAATTAAAAATATTTTCTTTTTAATTTTTATATGGTAAGAGTTTTCCCATGTTTATTGACTCGGAATATGCATCAGTTTTCTCTCTGAAATTAATTTTACATTTTTCCCCACTGATTTTTTTTTTTTTTTTTTTCTCAAAATATTTCTGGCTTTTTGCTGTTATAGAATTCGTACGAGTAATTTTTCTTTAGGATTTTAGACATTGCAGCTTGGAAGGTTTAGAAGAAGGCAAGATTTATAGACCCACAATTCTAGAAATATGTGACAAAATTTGAAATGTCTCCATGGTATCAACATGTAATGGATCAACTTGGAAGGTTTTGAAGAAGGCATATTTATAGACCCACGATTCTAGAAATATGTGACAAAATTTGAAATGTCTCCATGGTATCAATGCGTAATGGATGTATTTTACAGAAAGTTTACAATGAATTTCTTAATTTTTGGAGAACGTCTGGAAGAATTATGAAAACATTGTATTTGAATGTTTTAACTTCTGATACTAGAATCTTTTAACATGTTTATATTCCCTTTATTTTCTCTACTTTTCACTAGACTCAAGCATGGAAAATATCAAAAATGCTTCTAATCTTATCACATGGGCAGGCATTACAAAAAGAGATTTTTTTATTAATAAAGAAATTGAAAACTTACAATTTAAGATTCATCTAATATGTCTTAATGATCGTCATACATATAGCTGGCACTAAGCATTTCCCACCTGATCCAATCTCTGTGGATCCTAAATTCTGCTTCCAATGCCTCCTCTAAATTCTAAAAGTTATGTTATTTCTAGATTTTGTTGTTTGGTGTGTCACTAAATTCTAAAAATTCTGCCACATCAGCTCTGTAATCTGCCTTTACCATATATATTTCATATTTCTTCTAAATGTTCATATTACTAAAAAAAATTAGCCACTTTTTCTATACATCCTAAATGCGTTTAGTGGTTTTTAGAATAACAGAAATCCTTAATTAAATCCAAAAATTCTAAAATGAAAAGGAAACATGTTTAAGAAAGAAACGGTATACATAAAACAAATTATTCTTCAAAGATATGTGCAGTTATTATTATTATTATTATGTAAATTACCCAATTGTTTATGATCTCAGCCTTTACTATAATTTCCCATTTCTATTTCCTTATATGACAGAGTTACTGAGCCAGATTAAATTAAATTGTTTAGTCTTTGACCACTACTCCACATTTTTAGTTTAAATTTGACTGTTCTTGTTTAATTACGTCACCATGAGCTGTACTTGATTTTGTTAGCATCAGAACGTGCCTCTTTATGTTCTAAGTTCTTTTTAAATAAGCCTCTTATTTAAACCTTTGTCTGATATTATAGTTACTTTCAGACATAGCGATAATATGTTTCACGTCTGTCGGGGGTTTTGGACTATTTAACTTTTAGTAGATAAAGTAAACCTTCATAGGTACATTATGGAGAGGTTGACAAGTTAGGAGATAAAGCATGCAGAAACTAGCGAGGGCATTGTTTTGCATTCTAACACAAATCTGTAATTTTTAGAAAAGATGCTTAAAGAGAAGGAAATCGATATAAACTAGCCAAAATGTTTGGGAAGGCTTTAAATTAAAATGACAGATAAATATTTTGTTGAGTGTTTTTAGCTTTTAATGTGTAATAATCCTAATATCGTTTAAGAATCAATGCCATAAATTACAATGTATTTTAAGCTATGAAATTTGATTAAATTTTGATTTTAATAGGGCTTTTTTAACAAATTTTGTTAAAAAATAAAATTTAATAGTGGTCATGTAAATCCATAATGACTAAGGATATCAAACTACCTAATTTATAACTAACTGCTTACCCTTAAAAATTATCTCTACATATTAAAGTGAGTTATTGCCTTTCATTAATACCCACTGTGGTCACAAGATAAAATACAAAAATGTAAAAATTCGAGTAAAACTTATTCTTTGCATCTAGTGAGACTTAAAATAATATAAAATAACTTATCACCTCTGGTGCTTTAATGGCTTATTGGAACCTTAAAGTATATTAACTGGGTTATAATCCCTGGAATTCTACACGAACCTATGACACTAACTGCATTAAACAGAGCCTGACTAACTTTCAACACTTGCCAACCATGCCTACAGCAGGCCTTTCAGGTTTGTTTTAATCAGCAGGTCTCTCTCTAAACAAGTAGCAGCAGTGACAACATTCAGTCTTTTGTTATGAATCATGCTGATTATGATCTTACTTCTCATTTTAACCTATGCCATTTGACATAAAATCTACTTGCTATTTACTAAACCTCTAGACTGACCAAGTATGTGACATCATGAGACATTAAAAAAAATCAACATAAAGCTGTTAGTAAAATGTAAATGTCACTTATTTCAAATATGTCCAACTATTATAAGTGTAAAATATTTAATGCTACTTGATAAATTGTTTAAAGTTTATTTCATTTTCAAGCTTATTAATAATTATGTTAATTCATGTTTAGTAATAATGCATATTACTTAGGGATCTATTTTATTTTTAGGATGGTATTACAAATGTGAAATGCTGGCATCGATAATATTTTTAATTGAATTTATTCAGTTTGCATTTGCTAGTAGGTCCTTTAATTTTTTTCATTAATGGTCCTTAAAAGTACTTGATTTCTGTGTGCAGAAATGTGTATGAACCCTGTAAAAAAAAAAAAAAAAAAAAAAAAAATTCAGCTTACTGTGCCTGCAAAACATTTCAACGTGCCTATTTAATCTTTTTCAGTTGTTTTAAAGTACTAAGTTTCTAAACTAACAATGAATTCTTTGTGAAACATTTTCTGTTCAGCATCACCAGCTGGAATCTTGACATATAGATGTGAAGAAAATTGCTCACAATAACAGTTTATTCAGTATGCATATGATTTAATAATTTAATACAGTGTGTAGAAAATTTAATGATCTTACATTCCTCCTTTTTTTCCCCACCCGTATACTAGCTCCTTTAAAATTTGAATGGTTATATAAATGCATAGCTGCAACAGTACTTTTATACTGAAATCATGAAAAGCAAGAATAAAATATCTCCAATTTGATTTGTATTTGATAATGTCATATATATGTCAATATGAAAAGATAACTTAAGCAGATAATCATAAATTAACCAATTAGTTCTGAAAATTAATAACCAGCCTTTATTTTCATAGAAAAACAAACGTACAAAAAATTTGTTTAAAATTATTCATAGTTCAAGTAATTTATTTGAATATTGATCATTTTTATTTCTGTAAAGATAAAACATTTCTTTATAATATGTTTGTGAATTTTCATAATAATTTAAATAGTGAGAGAGTAAGCAGAAATCTATTAAGCTCTTGGACTTCGTACTGAGCTAATCTCTAAAGTAGATTGAAATTAGAAAACTCTTAATATTTGGTATTTATAGTTCATTCATTTTCATATTTCACAGATTTAAAAACCTTTTTTAGCAAGCAAATTGTTACTTGCAGTTTTTCATCAGGCTAAAAGATTTCCCAACAAAAAATATTGGTAGGTGATTCTGGGGATTGTGAATGCACTCGTGACAATATGAGTTACACAGGCTGATATTCCTTTATTTGATATGCGAATCTTTGCTTTCAAATTATATTTTTTAAATTTAAGATCAAGGGAAAATATGTAAAAAAAATAAAGATGAGCATACTAAATAATAAGTAAATAAAAAAGTATTGAAGATAAA